GAGAATCTGTCCCCAGCCTGGCAGTATCGGGGCGCGGAGATCCCCCTGAGCCAGCATTAGCTGCGAGCGAATCGCCTGTGGGTTGAGAGCGGGGAGGGGGGTGTGTGTGTTACAGCTTTTCGCAGAGTCCCTGCAGCTGACAGGATTGAAGTGACGTGGGGTGTAATCACAGGGTGTTCTGAAGCAACACTTTAAACCCGTGTCTTTTTTTCCTTCCTGAAATCTTAGCATGTGCAAGTAAGGCTTTGGGGGAACCCCCCACTGGGACTGTGAAAATCTCTACAGTTAGAAGGAGCTTTAATTAATTTGTGAATTAGGGTTTATTAATTGACTTTTCTTTACTCTATCTGCACAGCTCTCTATAACCCCAAAGCTGAGTTTGAAAAGGAAAGCAGCAAGAGTTTCTGTAAAATTATGTGCTGAGACTTAATGTCCCCTCCTGTTAAACATGTTGCCTGTGTTGTGTTGCCTGGTGTGTAGAGAATTTCTATCAAAGCATATGCCATGCCATATTACTCCCCCATTTATCATTTTGTACTGGGTTAGCTCATACATGCTCTCAATACCTCTCTGCCTGTGCAGTAGTGAAAATACCACATCTCTTAACATCTCTTAACTGAAACCTGAATGCTGTCCAGTCTGGCAAAGGTGGTTTGAATGGTATATTCTAAAGTGTTAAGTTTTGCAGTAGAATTTCTAATATTGGCTTGTAAGATTGACCTTACCTCAAAATGTCTATAAAACTCTGTCTTCTGCTGCCTTTTTAATGACTTGAGCATATCTCAATGTATTTTTTGTCCTTAGGGTACAATAGCAGTGCTGTCTCTCCCTATTTTTATACACTGAAATTAAAAACAGGCTGCAAACTAGATTACAATGAGGTTTTTTCTCAGACTAAGTAGTCCACAACTCTAGGAATAGTTATGCTAATTTTTGTGGGAGTCCTTGTGATGCTCAACAGTGTGCACAGTGAGAAAACGTCAGAATCTCATCCCAAAAAACTCCAGAAAGAATCCCTCGTGCCTTCCCATCTGTGTGACTAAGAGCTGGGTTTTTTCCCCTTACATTCTAGAAACAGATTGTGTAGGCCTACTTGCAGCTAAACATTGCCATTTATAGTGAATGTGGTGAGCTGCTCCCTGATATATTTTCTGCTGTTTGTTACACAAATATCAAGAGTTAAAATATTTCCCAATATTTTCTTTCTCCTAGACGAAACATCAGCGTGCTGAGCTCAGTTATCTAGTTGACAGACCCCGACGAGTAAACAGGTAGGAGCTCCTTGGCCTTGGCTTCCTCACACATGCTTCAGCAAGTCTGAATGGGGTGTGGAAGTGTGTTTACTGCAGATGTAACATAGTAGTAAAGCAGTGGGAAGTCAAATGTATGTAGATGTATTAAATAAGATACTGTTGGCTAAATGAGTTTGAATCATAGCTTTTCTGAACTGATTTCAAAACCGACTGAAAAGAGTACAAAGTCTCAGATTGTATTGGTCTAAAACGTGCTTCACATACTTAAGAACATGCTTCTGTAGGGTCTTCCAGCAAACACTGTATTGCTGAGTGAAAATTCACCTACTCAGCTTAAGTAAATGCTACCAAATTATTTATACCTACTACATGAAACCCCAATGGAGTAATAACCCTTGCTGTCCCTTCCAGCCAGACTCCCAAGGTCTGAAAATTCCTAGCTTTGTTTATGGCGGGCAGAACACCTCTGCAGAAGCTGTGCAGCAGGCAGGAGTGGGGGGGATGCAGCACCGTGTTTGGCCATGTGATGGCGGAAGAATGTTTTATGAGTTCCTCTTTCATGTTTATTCTAATGTAAAGATGTTTCTGTGTCTAGTTCTGCATTCCAGGAAGCAGACATAGTAAGCTCTAAGGACAGTGGTCATGGAGACAGTGAGCAAGGAGACAGTGATCATGATGCCACTAATCGAGGTCAATCCTCTGGTAAGTCTGATAAGAGAATGGAAATAGTAGATCTTTAAGCAACGAGACTAGAAGAAACAGTTACTTATAGGAATATAATACAAGAGAGGCATAAATGAGGTGAGCATATTGTGTGCGAAGCTGGGTTTAAGCGAGCTTGCTGCTACAGTTACCTGGACAAGGAGGCAATTTTGAACCTCTTTGATGCACAGGGCAGAGTTTATTTTATTCATTTGGTTGGGGGGTGGGGATTTGCTATGTTATACTGCATCATTCACTGTAGCAAAACTTCCTGCACATTGAAACAAAGTTGTTGGTACATTCATAGTACATTTTTTTTTTCAATGGCAGATTTGCAGGATTTCAAAGCATTAAGCAATTTTGTTTAGTAGGCACTTCAGCTGGCATGGCAGTGTGAAGTGCAGGGGGAGTTCCCAAGGGAAAGAATGAACCCTGTGATTGAATGACAGCCAGACTGTAAGGGTTTTTTTCTGGGGATCAGTGGAGACACATCGGTTGCTCTGAATGTGTAATACCTTAGTATTTTTGGAGGATTGTCTTTTAATTCAAATTGAGGCACCATATAGTGCAAGTGATCTCCATACTAATAAGGCTAAGATATTAAGTACACTTCTTTCAGTCCTGACAGAGGAAAGAAATGCTTAAAAGGACTATGATGTGAATTATCTAGAATAGATATACGTTGCAGTGTTATTCCCATGTGTAGGGCTTGCTGTCTTTGCTCTCATACTGTCAGTCTGCTTCTGAAAGGGACATTTGTTCAGAGCCTGTGCATTAGAATTCACTCTCACCCTCACACTGCATTTTAGCCACAAATGCTGTGCTTTATTCTCTACCACAGCCTCTGCAGGTCTGGTACATCTTGCTTCAATACAGGGATTTCTTTCCCCTTGTTTGCTCTGTGCTCTGTCATCTGTAAGGATTTGCTACCAGTGTGTCATACAAAATACTGTCAGTTGTCCCTTTTTTTTCTCCCCGTGACCCTCATCTTAGAAGATACCAGGGCAAGGGACCCAGTACTGTCACAGCAGTGCTGCCTCACCCGCCTGCTCTGTTAACATCCCCTATTTTCTTGCTGCTGTAGTCACTGTGCCCTTAACGATGGGAAACCCAGGCACCAGGGGAAGAGGAGGCTGCCACAGGGCCCCTTTATGTTGCTGCAAGTCATTAATATGCAGACCTAATGAGACTTGAGAAGAGCCAAGAGTCTCCGGAGCTCCCTGCTTCTTGCAGGGCTTCATGCTAAGTGAACAGAGTGTCTATTTTGTGTCTGGGAACCTGACAACAAACCAGGTCTTGCCAGAAGTTTACATTTGAACACAGAGCCTCTTTCATTTTTGGCCTATATATGGCGTATGATTTATTGTTGTTTTAAAAAGCCATGTATTTAGTCTCCCCCCACCCTTTCTTTTGCACTGTTTCTGATGCAGCGATCAGTGTTACCGAGTTATAAAAAGCTCCCTCTCCTCCTGCCCTCCCTGCATCCCTGGTTGGTTTTTTTTCTCTTTTACGCATTTTACTGCAGCAGTCATCTCCATGAACATTTCAATCAGCTTAGTCCTTCAACATAATGAACCATAATAACCAAACAGGAGAGAAAAGAATAAACATCTGCAGAAGGGGCTGGATTTGACTGATGGTGGGAATATAATCATATAGTTGCACATCAACTGAAAGCTATTTTCTTCTAGATGCATTCAGTGCTGTTATTGTTGTGCCTCTACTCTCTATTCCTTCTCTCCATTTTAAAAGTAGTTTGTCTGAGATATGATCATGGGAACTACTGTCAAACTTGGCATTGGGCCTTAGTGGGGCAAATTCTTCTTCATTGCTATTTTATGAAATTGGAGGAAAAGTCTATTCTACACTTTTAAAATAATATCAAATCATTTAAGAATCTGATGTGGTTTATGAGCTTGTGTCTTCAATGGCAATGACATAGGAAGCAATGAAAGCTGACAATTAGGCTTGGTCTATCTACAATTAAGTGTGAACTGAAACCTCAGAATACACAGAACTTCCAGTTTCATATATTGGTGCTGTGATTTGAGTATAATTTGCATGCACCATTTTTTATACACTAGTTCCAAATAAATATTTAAATACAAATCTCTGTAGAAACTGCTTTTATCTTCTGCATACATATTATATAGCTTTCCTGTAAGTTTTGGACTGATGCAAAAAACTTGGCCCTTGACCTCAGAGATGAGATATTTTGACATAAAAACTTCACTCTTGCTATTAGCTTTTGGTGATGAATTTTATGGGGGGAAAAAGGAGCATAAATCTTGTTTGATCTTGAATGGCTAGAGGAAATACCTGAGGGAATGCCTTCTCAGTTTTTCACTAGTTCTGGTGCTCTATAATCATTTCTTTCTAAATTACTGAAGGAAAACACACCAACTGATTAGATGGCAGCAGTTTGGGCTGTTTTGTTTCAACATGTTACCTGATACTATGCAGCATCATATTTGTTTTCAAAAGCATTGTATTTGCATCCAAAAATAGTTAGTAGGTAATTCACATTGACAAACGAAACTCACTCCCTACCAAATTTAGTCAGCAGCATGTTCTGCTCTCAAAACATATTTTTACTGTTCTGTATATGACTTCTGACACCAGTGAACAGTCCTGTGGCACACAAGTAGCTATTCTGTAGTAGTCCATTGCTATCCAAGCTGGGTGTCAAAAGTCATGTTCAGTTATTAACTGGGAAGGAAAACATGCAGGATGAAAATCTGTCACTTTGTCATAGCTTTATCTTGCACAATTATTTAGTTAAAATTCTAAACTAAGCTGTTCTACATATTATAAAATGTTTTATTGTGTTTTGGAATAAGATTCTAGTTCACCTTTTCACAAAATATGTTTTCTTAATAGTGATTTAATCATGTTTTTAAATAGGCTCCAGTGTAGATAAGGGGTTCATATTGTTCCCATTACCTGAATGCTTCATAATTATCCACGTTCTTATTTGCCTTAACATCTATGAGCTACAAAAGCACTGTCATGTGCTTTTGGTAGGGAATGGCAAGTAGTGGAATACTCAAAAGCCCAATTTTCGTGGACTGAATAGTTATTTCATTGATTGAGACAAGAATCTGAGCTTTTTGGAAAATGTCTTTCCAAAAGTGAAGAAGCACAGAAGGATTTTGGCAAACAGAGGTGTTTCTCAACCCCCAAGTGCACGTTCTAATGACTTATCCTCTTCTTTTAAAATTGTTGAGACATAAGCTGCTATTTGTTATAGAACAAACAGAACTAACACAATGCTGCTACCTATTATTAACACGCTGAATTTCAGTTGTGTTCTGTAGGAGTAATTTCTAAACACAAGGTTAGTTTATTTCCCATGGTTGATTAAATTCTTGGCCTCCCTTGTGAAACTGCCAGCTTGGGTGCCAATTAATACTCTGCATGTGTGTACATTTAAATTGTATGATTAGACACCTGTCCTGTAAGATTTGGACTCATGCCATCAGCTTATTTCATATGGTTGCTCACTAGCTACTCAGCTTTCTCAAGCAGAGTTCTTCATAATATTGCCCTTTTTCACCAAATTGGCATGAGGTCTCAGTTGCACTTCAGGAAGGAGTGTCTGAGATGGGAAGCCAAGTAGATGTACTGTCATGTATATACTATGAAATGCTCCAGCTTTTTTGATCATCATCTCTGTACAGTTCTGGAGAGTTTGCATTGGTGACTGTCTGAGACCTAAAATTAGGCTTCTGCTAGCAGACTTTATGAAGGGAATTGATAAGGGTCTAATACAAAGGCACAGGGTGAAACATTGCCTCATGCCTTTTCAATACAGGTGAGATAAATGCCTAGAGGGTTCGTATGTATTGTTGCAGAAGAGCTACACTATTTCAGTGTCCATAAGGAGGAGAACTTGAGAGGTCAGAAAAAGAATTTAAGTGATAAAGGGACAGAGAAAACCAGTATTCCTCCTGAGCCTGTGCAGAGTGACAGCTAAATCCTGTTTTGAAGATCACTTTGTTCAAGTATCTATCTTGGATAAAGTGAGAGTGAACATGAAAATGGCTTAGAAAAGTGTTTTGACTCAAACTGAGGGTAGTTTCTATTTCTTTTGTTTCTCTTCTTCCTTGCCCTGCATTCTAAATATTGTTCACATCTCAGTGGTCCAGATAGGGCTTTGAAGTTGAGATTTGGATGAGCTGAATATTGAAGACACTTACGTCTTTATTCATGTTCTTGTATTGATGAAGTCAGTTTCATCCAAGGCAGCACACCAATTACTTAGCAAGAAAGAAAGATAATAACTCTGTTTCATGAAGTCCAGTTCTTCAGTAAATAGTCTTCTACAAAGGAGGTTAGCATCATTAACCTTATTTACCAACATAAAGCATGAATCATAGGGAAATAAGTAACTTGTTCCATGATAATCTAACCAAACAGATAGTTGTTCTGGTAAAAGAGCTCTGAAAAGGAGGCCTGGTTCCCTACAGCACACCTATCTTGCATCTAACTAGCACAGAAGAAAGGGGAAATGCCGTTTAATTCCAAATAAAAGACAAAGTTCTGAAGAAAACTGCACATGTTAGGGAAACAAAACACCCTCTCAGTAATGGTCTTGCAGAAATACTTTGTCAACATTTAAGTTGTGCACTGATGTTTTCTTACATCATTTCCTCAGTAACACATATGAGCATGTTCACTCGTTGCTCTGAAGGGTTGGTGGATGGCTCTTCTCCCTTCATTAAATTAAGAAAGGGTACATTATCTAAAGATGGGTTTAGGCCTAATTTTTGCTTTGACTGAAACTGTCTTTCAAACGAATTAAAATTCATGCACATAGAAATTTTTATTTTCTCTATTTGCAATATGAAAAGGAAGCAAATTGAGAACATGCTTCCAAAATGCAGTGCTGCCAAGTATCTGATGCAGAGCACCTGAGTCCAGGTAGTTCAGATACAGATATCAATATTTAACTCCTTCCTAGTTTTTGGCATCTTATGAGGGAGGGGCAGGGGTTTGTTTTCCTTCAAAATCTGCAAAATTAAGATTGTGTGAGAGATTATATTGCTCACTGGCTCATCTGGTAATATGACTTGACAAATAGGAATGAAGCAGTCCCTTTGCCATGAGTTTTTATATGTATGCTGTCTTTGGAATAGTGCAACGCTTATCATTTTCAGAACTTCAGTACATTATACTATCTGTATCCACAAAGGGCATTTGAAATTCATAACTCAGAGTCACCTTTAAAATCTCACTTTATCTGCATGCAAGGTCTAATAGGATAACTAAGTGAAAAATACAAAGCATTTTCTTCAATGTGGATTTGCAATTATGATGGATAGTTTAGTTCAGAAGGATCATATATATATATATAACCAGATTTATGAGGGAGATGAGATGGAAGTGTTATACTGCTGAATATTTCTTTTTGTTATAAATCAGGAACGTGATTCTTGGTGTATGAAGGAGTTCTGTGCTGAATGTCTTACTTGGTTTACCATGATATGTCCTTCCTTCTTGGAAAATAGCAAATAGCCTTTACCCACCCCCAGCCCTGGGTTAAATGTTTTTCAATCAGAACCAGAGAATTTTGTACCATGACCCACAGGAAAAAGGTGGAGGAAGAACAGCCAGCATTCATACCATAGGCATTGTAAATATACATGGGTGCCCAGGGATTTCAAAACTAGGCTGCTAATTTGTATTTCTTTTCTGTCAAAACACTAAACCCAAGGGCTTGGTTCTGCACCCATTAAACTCTTAAGAGAATGTTGTGACTGATTCAAGCAGGAACAATTCCCAACTCAGGCTTCTCTGAACAGTTTGTTCCCATCCTAAACAAGCATTTACATTCTAGCTGTGTGTTCCAGCAGTGTATATTAAAATTCAGATGTATATAAATTTTTTGTCTTTTTACAAGTTCTCATCTTCAAGGGGGAAAAAGTTTGCAATACAAACTTACATTTTATATCCCCCACATTCATTACTTTGTTTATTCAAAATCCTGATTTATAGTGGCTATAACATCTCTTTTATAATAAGCTGTTATATAATACTATTCAGTGCACTGCAGTAGACAAGCAGTATTCAAAAGGGAACAAAAAAATAATATTTGGATAGAGACATTTTGCAGTTTAGCAGCTGATGTGAGAACAAAATAGTAAAATGGAGGGTGATTTTCCAGGGGAAATAAAGATCCATGAAGGAAAGAAAAGGGTCTATATTTGAATATATATATTTAAAACAATATTATTGTAATCTCTCCCTCCCCATTGACTAAAGAATATAATTTAATGTTTATCCTTAAGTCTTTCCTTCTCCTGCTGCCTTCAGGAAAGGTTGAATGAATATGGTCACTGATACACTGTTAGCAAAATGTAACTGTAATCATTTTCCTATTAAATGTAGGACTATTTGCTGTTTGCATGTAACTTGGCTAGGAAGTCTGCAAATTGAAATAACCATTTTGTGTTTATTGTCCCTTAAATCTTCGGAATGGCAAAAACTTAGATTCATAAAATGTGTCTTTTCTTGCATAGGAGATATTTTTCTTCAGACATTTCCATATGTAAGATATACACACACACATACACACACACTCACATGGTTTTATAGACATTGTTAGGTACTAATTTCTTTCTGGGAAGCCTGTATCTAAATTTTTCTTCTCAGTCTTTGATAGCTACTACGACTATAGAATTTAGATTTATACAATTTTTACTCCTTGCCTGATGATCTTAATCTGGTTCCTTAGTCATATCTGCAGTTCACATTTGCATTCTTCAACAGTTCAGTGATCAGTAATTTATTTTCAGACTTCTGCATGCCAATTATCAGTACAAGGTTCTAATCGAAACTGGACCTGGCATTGTATATTGCTTGATTTAAGATTTGAAAGTCATTATAAAGTGAGATTAATCTGAGATAAAAAGCTATTTTTTGTTGGGTTTTTTTTTCATTTCCTCAATTATTTTTTTCTGTCTTTGGTGTTCAAGCACTTGTTGATAGCTCATAACAATTCTTTCTTGCTGAAGAGGTTGTTTTTGTAGCATGAGATATTGCATAAATATTATTAATATAAGTCAAATTATAGTTCAAAACAGTGGTGGAATTCTTAATACTAATCCTCACATTGGAGATCAAGCTAATCCAGTTCTTTGCAATGCTGGCTGGTGAAAGAGCTACATTACATGAATCTTATTACAGCTGTTCAAAATTTTTTTCCTATTTCTGTTGCACAAGTAGTGTCATTTTTTTGTAATTCTAATGCCATGCTTGTAAATGCAATGTTTTTAACAGATTTAGTTCAGTTTTGACATACACCTAAGACACTCAGTTGTCTTTATAAATTCAAGAAAAGGATGTTTTTTTGCTGTTCTGCTTTTCTGTGTGATGTTGAACATTATATTGGTTTAACCCCAACCAGCAGCTAAGCACTACACAGCCACTCGCTCACTCCCCTCACCCCAGCAGGACAGGGAGCAGAATTAGGAAGAGGTAAAACCTGTGGGCTAGATAAGAATAGTTTAATAATTGAAATAAAGTGCATATAATAATAATAGTAACAAAAAAAGGAGAAAGAGAGAGGAATGAAACTGAAGGCAGACAAGTGATGTACTCTACTATTGCTCACTAACCCCTGACTGATGCTCAGCCCAGCCCTGAGCAGCGATCAGCCCCTCCATGCCAACTCCCCCAGTTCATATACTGGGCTCGATGTTCAGTGGTATGGAATAGCCCTTTGACTAGTTCAGGTCAGCTGTCCTAGCCATGCTCCCTCCCAGCTTCTTGGGTATTTCCTCACTGCAGAGCATGGGACACTGAAAAGTCCCTGACTTAGGGTAGGCACTACTGACAATAACTGAAACAACAGTGTGTTACCAACATGATTCTCATATCAAATCCAAAACACAGCACTGTACCAGCTACTCGCAAGCAGAGGAACTCTATCCCAGCCAAAAGCAGGACAAAACAGGGGGACTCTGGTATTTATTGTACTCTATGCCTATGACACCATTCTTCTCAAAACAGGTATAATCCAACAACTTAGTGACTTATAGTCAGAAAATACTCTTTTCAAAGGCCAATGTGAAAGTAGTCAATAGCAGCATAGCTTGTCATTTGAAATCTTAATAGCATTAAAGGATTTGTAAGCAAACAGTTCCGTGTTGGCAAGGATAAGTGTTTGCTTATATAGGGGAAGCATTAGCAATGTTGTCAATAGTATCCACAGCCACATCACATCAGACTACAGGTACCTTTGTACTGCTAATTGCAGTAATTTATTATAGGATTCTGTCCCATTTCTTGGATGACTTGATGATAGTAAGGACTGCTGCATTAGCAATGAACACTGTCTCTGAAAGAGTGAGGTAACAACTGATTAAAGAAGCCATCCTGATCATTTGAAAGCTGGATTCTTACTTTGTAACATCTGCTTTTAATATCGGTGGGCTCTATCTGCATACCAACATAAACACAGTTCCTTTATAGGACTCATTAATATTTCATTTCATAAATGAAATCTGTGATTCCTCAATCCGGACATTCAATTTCCTTGGTCAGAGATACATTTATGTAGAAATAATCCCTTCATGTTCTTAAATGAGCATTTTCAACCAGTGAACCACAGACATCAATGTACAAGTGGAACTGAACCTTATACGAATGGGTTCTCAACAGTGAGATCTGCAAGGCATTTTGTGAGATAGAGCCACCAAGATTCTTCTTCTTGTGGTACTTTCGGGGGTTGTTTGACATTCTGGCATTTAGTTACGCTTGTTAAAGGGTATCTTTAACTTCTGAAGACTGGACAATCAGATTTTTGCTGTTGTTGTTGAGGAGATGAAACTAGTGGAAGAAGTTCTTCCAGCATTTCTCTTTCCACTCCTCTTTCCTTGGCATAATCTTTCTTATCTGTCAGCAGCTGTTCATGATGCTGAAGCTTATATCTGTAGTTTCTTTTTCTTTCATGCTTGCAGGCATGGATCTCTTCTCCAATTGTACGGAGGAATGTAAAGCACTGGGCCACTCAGATCGGTGCTGGATGCCTTCCTTTGTTCCAGCCGATGGACGCCAAGCTGCAGATTACCGCAGCAATCTGCATGTACCTGGCATGGACTCCGTTCCAGACACTGAAGTGTTTGAAACACCAGAAGCCCAGCCGGGGGCAGAAAGGTCCTTCTCCACCTTCGGCAAAGAGAAGGCCCTTCACAACACTCTGGAGAGGAAGGAGTTGGATGGACTGCTGTCTAATACACGAGCGCCTTACAAACCACCATATTTGAGTAAGTACTATTCAAAAAGCTGTATGAAAGTGTTCCCTTTGCGGGAATAGAAATTAGCTCTTTCTGCTATTCATGGTAGGAATAATACAGGCACAATTTTAGGAGCAGTGGGGAAAAATGGCTTCTCTTGGATTCAGGCATCGCTGAAGAAGGCATTGTTCAATGCTTTTTTTAAAAAAAAGACAAAACCTTGATTGTTTTTAGTGTTACATGACTGCCAACAGCAAAAGTATCAGCTGATATTAGTAGGGAAGTTGCTCAATTTTGTTTTCCGATGCTGGATTATTTTCAAAGTTTTCTTGGATAGATGGCTTAAACATTACCATTGCCAGGCTAATGTTTTTGAAGTCTAAAATTAAGTTGAGAGAACTGTGCTAGGAGCTTCTTTTTATGATTGAGAACTATCTTGTGAATAAACAGTATGTGTGTTATTTTGAAGTAGCTATTTGCATAGTTTAAAGGTTTGGTAGGATGAAGACAAAACTTTCTGCCTTCAGTCTGATCATCTTTCAGCCTACGTAGTATTGACTCTTGTCAGTGCTCCTCCGTGCCTTCTGCCTCATTCCAAAGTCTTGCCTCTTTCTTTAGTCATCTTTTGACTATGGTTAGGTGGCATGAAAGAGGTGTGTTATTTTGAAGTAGCTATTTGCATAGTTTAAAGGTTTGGTAGGATGAAGACAAAACTTTCTGCCTTCAGTCTGATCATCTTTCAGCCTACGTAGTATTGACTCTTGTCAGTGCTCCTCCGTGCCTTCTGCCTCATTCCAAAGTCTTGCCTCTTTCTTTAGTCATCTTTTGACTATGGTTAGGTGGCATGAAAGAGAAGAGATTCATAATTCCTTTTGGAGTCTGAGCCAGTTGTAGAACCCTTGAGTGACACTTTGATCTAATATGTCTTTTCATTCTATTTAGCTGCATTCTGTATTTTATTAGAGACTGTAATCTCCTTGACTTCAAGACTTAATGATGTTTATCTCATCCAAATATGCCAAAAACATTACCATTGCAATACTGACCATTTTTAAAGCAGCAGTAGTCTTTCAGGACAGCAGATCAAGGGTGAAAAAAAATAAATATCTGTGACTGGCTTTAATTTATTTATTTTTCTAAGGCATTTGGTTGTTCTGAGAGCTGCTGCACTGTCAGTCCTGGTGTGTGAAGATCTTTGCTATGGATCATTCTCAGCATAGACAGCTCAGTTCTCCCTTCTTAATTAGCTGCCCAGGTATTTCAGTCCTTCAGGAGAGGTCTTTTTATCACTTCACTCTTTAGATTTGCTTTACTGAAAACTTCTAAATTTGACTATCAGTTCTGATATGTGAAAGCCATTCCTACAAAACCTGTCCTGAGACAATCTGCTTATTTTGTGTAGGCTAAAATGTCAGGTGTCAATCATCTGGTCATAGTCTAAAGACCTGTGTGTAATTTCAGTGTGACTGACAACTCATGAGTCTGTCTTTCCTGAACTGGTCTTCCATCATTTACTTCTACAAAACAGTCTTTATTAGTAAGCCATAATGTATCAGTACTGATTTCATCTCTGTCACCTCAGTTAACAATTTAACTTTGATTTAACAAGTTTGGTAGCACTGAATGTCTAATCACAACCGAGTTCAGGTGCAGTAAGGATGTTGCAGTGACGATTGTTATCTGGTGACACCACAATGGTAGTTCTGTTCTGCTTTGTTCTAGGCCTGGTAGTTTTATTTCAAACAGCAATGACATATTGATTTTATTGATAGTTTAGGGATTTGAAATTTTGTTCATCTAGCATAAGTTGTTTTGTTGAACAATGTGTTTACATATAGACATCTGTCTACATTTTACACTTTTCTGGTATAAGGGCATGAAAACTGGAGGTAAAATGTCAGAAGTAACAAATATAAATGAGTGTTAGTCTGTAATCCACACTTGAGAATGCAGATTTAGCTTTGCTTTTTTCCCTTGAACATCAAAGCTGGAAGTTCTACAAAGCAAGAGTAATGCTTCTCTGGTTTATTTCCCTTAGTTAGTATTTTCTTTATTTGAGATTAAGTTGCATAGCAAAGGACAGGAGCAAGGAAAAGAAAGTGAGCACAGTAGTTGTAGCAATGAGTAAATAATTTATTATTAATAATGTATTCAATGAATAAGGCAAGAGGAATGCATAAGAGGAAGTTGATTCAGGAAGGAACTTTGGTTGAGCCACTGGGTAATTGCAATTAAAAATGAAATTAAATTCAATTTCTTAACAGAGGAGGCCATAACAAAATCAATTTGTCAGTAGAATGATCTTTTAAAAGAAGTTATTAAAATGTATGAAACAGAACCCTCATATTCAGCAAAAATACTGCATAAAAAGTTGTAGCATGTGTGAAAATGACCACATGAAAAATCAGAGGAAAAAACTATTTGAACTAAAAGGGTCTCTTAAAACGAGAAAGATTCTAAAACAAAATGGTCAGAAAAGAATATAGCAAGTAAATTTTAGGATAGTAATTGGTGAAGATAAGAGCAAATAGCCAAAGATGTGCAAATAAATATAGACAACTTTCAAGATGTCAGGTGTAGTAAGCTAGGTGAGAATTGGTGGATGTCTTGAGCTGCAGTTAATGAGAACAAGTAGGTGGCACAGATTCTAAACTGGTTCTCTGCATTTGGATTTCCCAGGGGAGGGACAGAGAAATACAGACAGGTGTATCTAGGAAGGCACCCATCCCAGGGAACCACTTCAAATAAATGTGCAAGACTGAGTCATGGAGGAGGATGTGGTTGAAAAATGGGCTAAAACAAAGAGAAAGAAGTCAGTGGACTATGTTTCTTTTACCTTCTGTTGCTAACAAAAGCTAGTAACCAAAGAATGTCAGAAGTTGTGTTTATCATGAAAAAATATACCAGAAAACCTTGTAAATTAGAGACCAGCATGAAGCTTCAGCATAGGACATAAATTTGTAACCTGGGGGTTTTAGGAACAAGGTAGCTGACATTTGTCCAGGGAAGTTGTACAGAAATATTGTCAATCTATTAGAATTTTGATACAGTGAGTGAGAATTAATCAACAGAATGTGTTTGAACTGTCAAAAAAAAACCCTTTAGCACAGCTTTTGTGTAGTAGAAGCTGCTCCTAAAGTAAGCAAGTGTTGTCATAGGGCAAAGCATTACCAGATTCTCTGTGCCCAAGAGGAAAATATCATAAGGATAAATGGATCATAGTTCTATTCTAAGTGTCTGTGTGGAGATCCATGGAGTTTTAAAAAAAAAAACAATTCTCTAGAAACAGCAACCAGAAAAAGGGAGTGATGTTTCCAGGTGACATAAAGTGGTTTAGGTCCATCGAGTCTCTAACAGAGTATGTATGCCCATGTTGTGCAGTGAAGCATGGTCCAGCAAGCCCTGCCTGCTCCTGAGGTAGCTCTCTGTGGAATGGAAAGCTGCAGAGCCGTGTCAGCACAGTGGAATAGCTGAGCAAACTCACTCGCTGGAGCTGTGCTGTTAGCAAATAGCTGCAAATGTTAACTAGTAACTCTACCTGGAGCTTTCATGGTGCCATGTGAGTGTGTCTGTTTGGTGGTTCCTGTGCTGTGTTCCAATAGACACATTCAGTGCAGAGCCTTGGAAAAGATAAATGAAGAAGGTGATGTTATAGTGAGAAATTTGAACTCATCTTGAGAAAAATGACAATGGAATAATTCCCTGAGAAGTGGCCCCCAATGTACAAAGCCTCCCATAAAGAAATAAAATGCCAGGTTGTAGGAAGGAATTGAATTGAAAATCCACTAAAGAAATATTTCAAAACCCTTACACAGAACATATCACTGTGTTGCTCTAGACAGTGATTTCTTTCCATAGAAACACATGGCATAGCAACAATACTGAAAATATTTCTATGCTAAGTCGTATCAAAAGCTTAGCACTAATTAATTTAGACAAGCTGTGATAGGGACATGAAGTAAAGGAGGCTGCATGAAAACAGAGAAGGTAAGCTGGGTGCTTTCATCTGGCATTCTCAGTTACAAGAGAACAGCAAGGCAGCAAAACAACTGAAGGACAACCAGGTCATGAACTGATCAAATCATGCACAGGTATGATCACAGGTGTCCCTGCCCATGGCAGGGGGGATTGGGTCTAGATCATCTATAATCTCCATTCCAACCCTTAAATTCTATGATTCTATGATTTGTTAATATGATACCCACAAATAATACAGCAACCTATCGGACTTAACTGGTATGATTGAAACTAAAGGCTTAGTAGTGGGGATTTGGGTGTTTGGTTCTTGTTGGAGGTTTAGGCCATTGCACAGATAGGTGAAAACAGCAGCAGTTATGGTATAATGTAGAAGAATATATAAATGCTCATACTTGGAAGGGTTTCTTTATGTCCCATTATCAAATCTTCACCTAGCTGGTCTAAGTCAATGGACTTACTCATACACCAATTTCCACATAAACATACATATTCCCTATATTATTCTGAGCAGAATACACTGAAAGGAGATCTCTTTGTACCCAAATAATGTATTTGGAAGAATATAGTTTTTATAGATGTTTTAAGTAATTATTATGAGTACAGGTTATAAAATTGTGATGGGATCAGTAAATTGCAGGGTTTTTGAAAACAGTTTTCTCATTGAGTGACTCCAGGATTCTTCTAGCTTGCATATTATTCTTACTGTGTAATTAATACTCCTTATTCATCCACGTGGTTTGAACACTGCCTTTCTGCAGACAGGTTGCAAATTTTCATAATGACTTAAAGTTCATAAAACATGAAAGAGATTCTGAACTTGACTGGAGAAAATAGAAGTGAAATAACACTGGTGAGGAAAATAAAATGTAGCTTTAAAAACAATTCCTATATTAAAAAAATAGAGTCTAGCCATTTCTATCTAAATTTTCAGTCACTGGTGGTTATATTAACCATTAGTTTTATAAGTAATATTACTGTAGTCACCAAAACCCCTAATCTAAGATTCAAACTGTTGTACCAGATTTGGTAGGATATCTAGCAGAAACTATCTT